CGAGGGTCCCTTTGAACACGATGGGGGGGGGGGTGTTCAAAGGGATGGGGGGGTACGTGTCCCCTTAGACCCCTAGCCACGCCACTGCTTCATATGCATCATGTCAGGTATTTAAGACTCGCCCCCCCAACTTGAAAATCGTTCCCGGGCCCCTGAAATGAAGTTTGAACGAAAAAGTTAAAATTTGGATAAGCAGCCAGCTTACATCCCAGCACTCCATCCACCAAACATCGGCCTGTTTATATCTGATCCAACCATCCCACCGGGTGCGCGGCTGTCGAGTTGGAGGTGCCCTGCCCCTGCCCTTTGCACCAGAGCAGGAACCGTAGCCTGTTTACCAAATACCGATCTTGCCATTGGTGACGCCAAGCTGTGCCCTACCCCTCACAGCCGCGCCTCTAGGTGGTAGAAATCCAGGCATCGCTAGTCGCGCGTGTTCGTAGTCTGTTCCTATCATTTGGTATGATGGGGTCACAAAAATCGGTACGGCATTCACATTGCGCACACACATGAACATTGTACATTGTACACGCTCATACATGTGCATGTAGACGGATAGAGCTAGATTGACAGACAGACAGCCATACAGACAGACTAACCGACCGACAGACCGACCGACCAGCAGAGAGACAGACAGACAGACAGACAGACAGACAGACAGACATTGACTGACAGGTTGCGTGCCTCTAGCGAGTCCTACAACAGTAAAACGATGTCAGAGCTGGTGTATATGTTATACATGTGCCGGCCTGCCGAGACCAGGCCGCTCCCTGCGGCCTGCACCGTTCGGGGTGCAGCTCGCGCCAAATTTGGCCGCCAGTCAGTCCTCAGCTGCAGACGGTCTGCATGAAACCTCCAGGGGTTGGTAAAGGGTGCTTAAACACTCAGAAATCGAACACCGTCTGCACCACGCCTTCTCGAAATATCTGTCCTGCCTTCCTCTTCTATCCGAGGAAAATGTCTTACACCGGGAATCGTGTCCTGGTATTTACTATGTTTATTGAATTATTTGTGATTGCGTTTTGATATGTTTTAAAGCAACTTTATATCTGGAGACGAATTAATAGCATGGAGACCCATTTTCTTTAGAAAATAAACTTACTGGCCGTTCAATCGTTTAAGTTCTGCGATCGTTGTCAGCTCGAACTGCAGTGCTACATATGCGTTGCTCCTTGGGTGCTGTAGTGCGCTGTAATGTATCCAGCAATGGAAACCGTCCATGAGTCCTGGCCTTGGCTGGGTACGCTGACACTGCGGCCCTGCCCTTCGTGAGTCGCGTGGTTCAATATAGAGGAAAGTAATCGATCCTGTCATCGGTCAATGTCTGCTACGGAGAAAAATGACGCTAACCGAGCACCCATGTCACTGTTCGACATATGTAACGCGCAAAACACATTGTTCCTGGATTGGAGGTGTCATGCAACACGCAGTTTAACACCTGATTTTACGAAAACCGCACTTCGGTTTCCTAAAAAGTGCGTCTCATTAACCCGGTTTACATAGCATATTTGACGAGGCTCTAGCTCGTTGATTTGGCGATACTTTCGTTGCAGTGGTCTTCAAATATTTAGAGGGGATCATTTTGTAAATTGTTAAGCACCATTGACATCTTTTGCAACATCACGGACGGAGATATAAGCTTGCAACAAACCCTATGTAAACGCGTCTATCTATATTACTATTTGTGGTGACGTAGTTTCTGTCTATTACCAAGGTCGCGACATGGTGCTACGTAGCGCGGGTTACAGGTCACACCGTTGCACCTACCGCGCTGAAGTTTGCGCAACTCATAGAACAAGGATGGACAACGTGCCTTTGATGGGTCTCAGCTCGATCGGATCGATAGCGAGCGCGTGGCGCGTGTCCAAAAAGTGCAAATTCGCGTCATAGACTTTACATGTATTAATCGGCTGGCAAAAACGGGCGAAAACAGCCAAATTTGCCCGACACGGGTCCGGTCCCGGTGCAATATCTCGGTAACCGTGGGCCCGACCGGTACGGGGAAAACAGCATCGTGTAGAGAATCGAACGGGCTATCGAATGGTGTGCGGTGCAGGGGTTGGCACGCGCCACGTGCACCGGGGAGGACACTTTCTTTTGAAAAATGGACGTTTTGGACGGATTTTGGAATTTATATTAATTTCAGGTGATCGTCAGACGGAATGAGTTGAAACAGCGCCTATTAGCAATAAAAATGTACCGTCTCTCATGGAAAAATTGTGAAAAGCTAATTGATCAAAAACAATGTGGAAAAAATCGCTGAATTAAATGGTATTTGTCCAAAATGTGCCACTAAGTAATTACACGGATTTTGCTGCTTAACCTGATACGTTTGACAACTGAAAATGCTATCATTGGAAAGAGCATTCAATTCTCTTTAAGATCCAATCATCACGTTTGCATGACAAGCAGCAGTATTCTTAAAAATATAAATGTTTCAAACCTCTGCCAAACGATTTTTAGTGAAAATTATCTACGCCTTTAATTTGTCATAAAACTACGCGCCTAAATTATAAAGCACATTTGACGGATTCTGAAGTGGAAAGCATGCTTTATCAGACACGGGCACCTCGATGCGGTGGATATTTTTTCCACAAACCAAAACGTTTAGCCGTCAAAAAGCAATCGACCGAAATGGATAGATAACCCAACCGACACAAGAACAACCAAACACCCACCGATCGAAAATACCACTTTCGCGTTGCGGAGCACGCGGGTCACCCTAGTTATCTTCTATGGAATGTGTTCGATAGAAGTTACCGCTACAGGTTACAAAGTTTTCTCTTTTGATCATGAGATCCACGTTATGAAATTGATAATGATAGCCAGATTTTAGTGCGAAAATTTCTTTTAATTTTAGCTAGAATTGTTCCAACACAGTGTTAAGTGTATTAGAAATAACATTTACAACAACTTTTCTGGTTTATTTTTTCTATTTCTGATAGACATGAGCAACAGGTTATTTTTCATCCTTCTAATAATTTACAACAACCTTTAGGTAATATGACCCACTCTTCACTCCAAAGCGAAAGCACTTGATGATAAGGGACTTGAAACCATTTCATGACACATGCGTTAATCCGATCCTAACTTAGCGAGTGAAATATAATTGCACAGGATATTTCCCACAGGGATATGACACATGTCCTTGTGGGAATGTCTTTCGGATTATGTTCTTTACCATTATACACTTTGTTACCAGCTTCCAAACGCGTATTAATTAAACTGTTTGCAACTGTATACAAAGCCGATCTCATGAGCCGTGTCGGCTTTAGGATTCGTATTTTTCACGGAAGTCTGTTGCAGGGAACCTTCCTGGCTATTTGTGCCCCTGGCGTAGCACTATTTTCCTCCGACTGGCCTTGTGGAGTCTCGAGTCAGACATCGACCTGCAAATGTCCGGAGGAAGTCCAAAGAAGGAAGATAAGTGCACCGGTGTCAAAAGGGACATTTCCATGACTGGGCCCTGATCACTGATCACTGATCAGTGATCTGAGTGAATAGCAGTGCCTGAGAGTATCAGTCGTCTTTCGACATTCACTTCGTTGAACATCTTTTAAATTTAATTCAACACCAGGAACCGACATGCCGCATTGCCGTTCCGTCTGTCTGCTCCCTCGTGATGGCATGAGGCTTGTCTTGTAAAAAGGCAAAAAATCGATTTTCCTCTGGTGACGGAATGTTGCTTTCCATTCACGGTTCGACGGGCTGGCCCATGCTCCGTCAACATGCCCAGGGCCTCGACATGACAGGTTGACACTGGACATTGGACAATGCAGCCCTCGTGACCTGTGCACAGGCCTCCAGTCGATAGAGCCAGCTCGCTGAAGATCCGTGCGGCTCAAATGTGATTCCAGACAGATATGACGTCTCAAAGTATGCGGCGAGTTTGCTTGCTGCGAGAAAGGCTACATAATTAAACCGTAGGGTGTTTTAGTTGGCTTTTGTCCGATACGATCTCTGAATAACAAGCCCCATGAATATGAATATTGCATATGCAAGACGGATTTAAAAATCCTGACCTGGAAGACTGTATAGTGCAGCGATGCAAATAAGATAGCATCCACAGCCAGTGATCAAGTTAAAAGCAGATTATTGAGCTCAAAATACTAGACGATCAAGTAGGTACTGCTTTGCATGATATTTTAATCCAATGAGCAGCAATGAGCAAAGTAACCGAAATGTTCCGATACCATTAACTGTATGCTTTACGAACAAGGGGACGCAATTTAGTTCACATGGGTCTCTTAATTATTAGGACAAAAATACTCAAAAACTATAATCTCCCTATCAAAACAGAGGTCCATTTCTTATTATTCTGGTCTCTGCAGATCTTACGCAATGATTGCATTACCTACTAATAGCCTATAGGCAAAGCAAATGGAGAAAGCAGCTAATAGCCGTTTTCACGACGGGCTATCCGGCGAATGCACCTGATTTGACCAAATCTGCACCTAATTTCTTTTACAGCAAATATATTCATTTTATGAATTTATTTTAGTGTTTTGATCGATGCTGCTCTATAAGCAATTAGTGCTGAGCTGCTAAGAGACACACTGAACCTGATTTGACCAAATCTGCACCTAATCTGTACCAGATGTGCACCAAATGTGTACCAGATGGCCGTCGTGAAAACGGCTAATACGTAGGCCTAATTGTCTAGCATACCTACTTAATGTGCTATAATAATATCAATGCGCTTCATAGTTGCCGAACTAAGATAGGCGCATCACAAAATAGATCGTGGGATGCCATGATAGATACATCTGAACAACGGTAGCTATAACTTCTGAAAACAAACAATTACTGTGAAATCATTTCATTTGATAAATATTGTAGACGTTCCTAGTACTTTTCAGTGGCAATGTCAGTACCGAGTAGTGGCCAATATGTAGTGTCCGTATTCCCACGAAGGTCTTCCCGGCATTTGAGGGTCACCTGCCGTGTTCCCAGCCTGCAGATAAGTCTCACATCCCCCCAGACTACCGATATAAGGGAGCCCCGGCAGTCGTCCGTTGTCATCCGCTCAGACAGCACTACCCTACCACATCCTCAACATGTTGTTCTCCATACTCCTAGCCGTCTTCGTCTCCGGCACGTTCAGCCAGTCGACATGTCCCAGTGGATGGACCCTGTTCCAGTCCAACTGCTACCGGCTCTTCGACCAGAAGGTCTACTACTACGACGCCATGGTTGGGTGCGCCAACTCCGTCACCGCCCATCCAAACCTCGCCTCCATCCACTCGGCTGAGGAGAACACCTTCCTCCAGACGTTCGTCAGCGCCTACGACTACGTCTGGATCGGACTGCACGACATGACCACCGAGGGCACCTTCCAGTGGACGGACGCCTCGCCGGTGAATTTCACAAACTGGGCCGGTGGCCAGCCGGACAACCTGAACGACTCCGACTGCGTGTTCATGCTCCGAGACGGTACGTGGGACGATGGCGAGTGCGAGCGGAAGTTCGGCCACACCACGCCGGCTAAGGCGTACGTCTGCAAAACCAGAGCCGTGTGAACGTCGCAAGTAGGTGCCTCGGGAAATGTCGAGGAGTTTGTGTGATATTGTAAATCTTCAATGTTCTAAAATTGTTAAGATTCGTGTCTTTCTCATAAGAAAAATAAATAGAACAACAACTAGCACAGCACGTCAGAAAGTCTCTGAACGGTTCCGAGATCCGAACAAAAGCAAAAGGTCACTGCACAGGCTCAGTTCAGATGCAATAGCGATGAATTGACCAATGCAAACCATTTGGGCTTGGCTGTTTGCTGGATGTCATGCAGGCAGTGCCAGCAATAGTGTCATAAAGTCGATGAATGGGTAGAAAACTTAACCCTCGCATGTGTAGGGGGGGGGGGGGTCGGATGGACCCCCCCCCATGGTTTTTCGCGAATAACTCGCGTAAAAAGCGGCCGATCGCGACGAAACTTTCAGTACCCTCGCATTGATCAATTTTACACCTACCCTGAAAATTTCATGACCCTGACCCAAATGACCTTTGACCTGTGACCTCTTTTCCGAGACCATGTTTGGCCGGAATCGCGATTTCGCGTATGTCGGCTCGCACTAGCCGCGTGTTTGCAAGCTTTTCGTGGTTTCAAACGTTCAAACATGTGATTTGATGCTACTCCCGTGTGTGTCAAGGTCACCTGAAGGTCAGGTCAGGTCATTGACCTTTGGTGACCTCGGGTGACCTCGGGTCACTTTTTCGAGTTTTACATGTTTCTAGGCTAGTTTTTGGAGCTGAATTCGAATTTAGCAACCATTTGAACATTTACGAAGTAGTTTTGGTGACTTCGTAACATGTTACGAAGCTGTCAGAGGCGGTTGACACGTACTACGAATACCCGTCACGACGCCTACTGGTTGACCTGACCTGACCTGACCCGACCTGGTCTAAATGCTTCAAGACAACATCTGTGATCAAAACTAACACGATATTCGTGATCAGCACCCCGAAAAACCCCTTAGCAGCCACACTTTACGACTTTCTAACAGGTCCCGATTTTCCCGACTTTGGGTCATTGACCTGACCTGGAAGGTCAACCAATGACCTAGGACCTTAAAATTGGGTATTATCGGCTTCCTCTCGTCACGGGCAACACGCTCGTTTTTTCCGCGAAGCTCTAGCTCGATCAGGGGCCAAACGGCAAGGGGGGGGGGTCCAACCGACCCCCCCCCCCCCCTACACATTAGAAGCTGGCAAACGCCGCACACATGCGAGGGTTAAGTCTAGAGAGCGTGCTGTTATGTAGGTAGGCGATGGACCGCTATCAACACTTGACCCGAAATTAAAACTTTTTCCATGCCTACGGAAACTCCCGAATCATTCGGTAGAGTTCTACGCCAGCTGAGCCCAGTCACGTTTTATTCGATTTGACAACAAAGGCCGCAAACCAACACAGATATTGTCATTTTCGAGCACTCGCATTAGGGCGGGTCATCCGAGAACTTTTTTTCGAGGACACATAATGAAGACCGAAATTCCTACGGAGCATGTCACAAGAAGACTGTGTGAATTTTTTCAATTTTTTTGGTTGAGGTTGCGGGTCGCCGCAGCCAATTAATCAACCGGGTTTTTCGCTACATTTTCACTGCACGCGAGTTTTGAGCACAAATGATTATGATTAATTATTTTCAAATATATACCTCGAAACTTCAGCTCTTCCTCAACCTATTCTGCAAGTCTGTTGGCTGTATCTCTTTAACTGTGGCCATGGTGCCATGCTCTCTGTATCGGTTTTCCGCAACTCGATCGCAGCGCCATCTCTTGAGAGGACTGTTAACCTTGCGTCGGCCGAGACAATATGCATTCTGCTGATGCGATCTTAGGACGCTGATGAAAAAAAAAACGTAAGGCACAGGAGCGTATATAGCGTGAAAGCTGTCAATTGCAATTAAAGTAGCCATGAAATGTACATATTGGGGGTTCACCTGACTTTACCACAGCCATTATGCGCCAAGTGCGATAGTGTCCGCTGGACCTATTAGTCATTTGATTCTGCGCTGAGACTTCAGCGGCATTATTTTCAGTTTTGGCTTCGATTATTTCCTTGCATGTAAATTTAACCTTTCTTTTGAAATGTAAACCTAGTGTTAGAACTGAACAGTAGAAGCTCAATTGCAAAATAACTAAGTACTAAGTTAGCCTCGTCAACTTAGCCCGGCTTCATCTGACAACAGACTGAGGATGAGTTGCGAGGTATCCTGCTGATCGGCGATCCGCGTATCATATCACTGCCCGAGTCGCGCGTTCTCATCGGACCATCAGATCCTATTTTGATGACCTATTGGGGCTGGGCCACCGCAACAAGCAGTGGAGCATCGAGCTTTGAGGGAAACTGACCTCATAATAACCGCGGTAGTAGCTGCTAAGTGGTCGCCGACGCAATTTGTGATCCCAATCATGTGACATTGTTGCAGTTAGTGGAAAGGAGCCTCCATGTCGAAACGGAACTAATGCCGCGTGGTGGTCCTCGGTGACACTTCACATTCTGTTCTCGGATAGGCAAGTGATTACTAAGGAAATGCCCTTCTGCATTTTACGTGCATAAGGAATAAGGATGCGTCGTTTATCATGATAAATAGGATAGCCGTGCTGGATCATCGGCTATGACGAGCCTGTTGGACGAGCATATTATTGCTTCAGTAAATGAGCCCGGTAGTCAATGCTTATTCTATTTTACACCAAAATCAGACAAGGGCCAAACTATTAAACAAGTTTACAAGACTTGTGGAAAAGCCACTGGACTAAAGCTGCGCTGATCAGTGGACCATTTACCAAGAGTGCCTGTGCATCGAGCAGGAACCGTTCGTGCCGTTTCGGGCAACGCCATGCAGTCCAGATCAGAGAACACTTCTGAACAGCCCGGAAGCAGGCGTCACGCTCTTGACAAATCCTGAGGTAGCTGTCAGTAAGGAAGCTTGAGCCCTTGAATTTGGTAAAATGGCTTACGTTGGCAGATTGCAAGTTACGTATTCCGTCGCGATCGCCCATCATACAACATATATTGACCAGCTTCGAACTATCACCGAGTTCAATGTTGTTCACTATGTCCCAATGTGGTCCGAAATTACGGAGTAAACATTGCAGAGACGGATTACTCCAAAGCATCCAGCTATTGCGAGACCTCTCAGCTCAACGGTCTGTGTTATTCGCCCAGTGATCGACAGGAATAAGTACCGGGCTCACTATAGGAAACTTTTTTTGGGCTGTACTGGCCGATACAGACAGACGGCAAACAGTGCATACACTGCGATGCTTGCTGAACTAAGGAATGGTGATAAAAGACTCGAGACACTTATGGCAAAAAAGTATAGGAAGGGAATGAGGCAGGAGACATAAAGATATGCGATTCTATCAGCATTTTGCAATAAACAAGTCATGCACTACATGCAGCTCATAGATCGGTCCAAAGAGCGCGTTACAGAGTCACCAATAGCAATCTCGCTGCAAGAGGGTGACCTTCGACCCGCTGCTTAACAAATTAATTTCGATCCGGTGCATACCCATACTCAGTACTCAGGCAGTGGAGCGAGCCGTCCGGTTCCTAACTTAGGCAGCATACGTTGCTGTTATTAAGAGAGCACGTCTCGGTTACATCACGTGTGCCATCAGGACGCAATGCAACGCTCTCATGCCGGCGTTTGAATCAATTATCGAAGTGTGATTTTCTGTCCTAGGACGGTTAGGTGGCTGGCTACATTGCATTCAAAAATTGATTCCTGAAGTATTTCGGATCGAATGGGTACAACTCACCTACAGGGTGGACCAAAAAGGATGGAAACATTTTAAACTCGTATAAAACATGTATCATTGCATGCATGTGACTGGGAATGATACCAAACAAGAGTACATTTCGTGGAAATTCATAATGGCATCACTCTCATACACTTTCTCTCGTTTTCAGTCTCTCACAGCAGATGTTCGAAGTGACCACCTTCGCGAGACAGGCACAGAGCGACCAGCCTGGCTGCTGACACGCATAGCCCGCTTGTATGGCTCACACAGCCTTGCTGATCGCTCTCTTCAGTTCAAAGGCTTTCTGGACCTTCCTTGTAGACCTGGCCCTTGAGATGACCCCACAGTAAAACATCCATAGGAGTCAGGTCGGATGAGCAGGTAGGCCAGTTCCGACTGGCACCGCGGGATATCAGCCGGTCACCGAAGTGGTTTTCGATGCACTTGAGCGTTGTTTTTGCGATGTGAGTAGTCGTACCGTCTTGCTGGAACCACATAAGGTCTATAATGAGGCTGCCATGCTTCGTTTGGACTCGCTCTCAGAACTTCCTCAGCGCCGCCTGGTATGCGCTGTTGATTGACGGTCACGGTGTCGCCGCTCCCTTCCTCGAACCAAAGTGGACCCACGATTCCTTTTCCGCTGAGGGCACACCATTTCGGTGACCTTGCTGCTGTGCAGTGACTTCTTTATCATCTTATCTCAAGGGCCAGGTCTACAAGGAAGGTCTCTGTGACCTGAAGAGAGCGATCACCAAGACTGTGTGAGCCATACCAGCGAACATGTGTGATCGGGCTATCGCGTCAGCCACCAGACCGGCCGCTCTGTGCCTGTCTCGCGAAGGTGGTCTCTTCGAACATTTCCTGTGAGAGACTGAAAACGAGAGAAAGCAGATGAGAGTGATGCCGTTATGAATTTCCACGAAATGTACTCTCGTTTGGTACCATTTTCAGTCACATGCATGCAATAATGCATGTTTTATGCGAGTTCAAAATGTTTCCATCCTTTTTGGTCCACCCTGTAGTGTCAAATAAGGAACACCAGACACCTAGGAACACCAAAGAACACCATATACCCGACGTGGCAGCGGCTGTGTCAGCTTTTAACGGTCGGAAAGCCGTCAAAATCAATGTTATGCCAAACTCGCTCAATAGATGGCGCTGGCTTCGTTGCGCTCAGAGCACCGATGCTAATCGTTATTCTGAGCACAATTCTGCCACTGGGGTTTCCAAACTTTGTGAAGAGGTGGGGGTAAGCATGTAGAACTTGGAAAGTGGTAAATATAGTACCTTTCTCGAATTTTTCCCACTACATTTTGCAAACAACGAGAAAAATTAGCAAAAGTGGTCTCGAAAAACCGTTGACGGCGCGCCCAGTTCCTTTTCAAAAATTCGCAAAAAATATGTTTTAACCGTTTTATGGATCAGCCCGTAGGAAAATCGCTCTTCACTTGGAAACTTTTTCCATCGACCCGCCCTAACTCGCATGCCGTGTCAATTTTTCTGTCCCTGCCACGAATAAAAGGCCCTTTCAGAATATGGCATATGATTCTAAATATAGTACGTATAAGTATATGTGTACGTTATGATTATCCCGTCGTTCACCTCCCACTCTAAGTACCAATCCTAATAACGGGGGATAATATGTATAGCTACCCTCCTATGCGCCTAAAATCCCTGCCTCAGCCTTATGCTGCCACATGCAGTCGGAAATAGTGCACCCGCCGACGCCCCCCTCGGCAGGTAAGGTAAGGTAAGCTCTCTGGCCGACCTTTCCGGGTCGCTTCCGGCCGCCGCAGGTGCTGCGTCGCCTCGTGAGTCGAGACGTCCTCCCGACGGCCGCCGCTCCGATAATCCCCTTCCCAGAATCGGCCCGACGCGCCGGCAGCGGCCGCCGGCCGGTGTCGCCGGCGCAGGTGTCCGTCCGCCGTCGGTCAGCGGCGCAGGAAAACCTGCAGCAGCAGGAAGGAAGAATCTGCGCGGCGCCGACACGCCGACTGTCGCGGCCGACCGACGCCAGATCACATGCCGGACAGGTAAATGCCGCCGCCGGTGACGACGACATATTCAATATGGCGGCCGTCGGGTGCGGCGAGGTGCCGGCGCAGCGCCGGATATGCCGCAGTCTAATGACATCGTCGCCGATCGGAGACGGCGGGAAAGGTCAGCGGCTGAGGAAAGAAACGACGGGGTTCGATACATTCGATTCTGGAGATAATGAGGAAATAGAACCGATGTCGATGTTAATCGAACAGTAACACTTCCCTGAAGATGTCCTTATGGCGCACATTAGCTATATAGAGCTCAGGTAAAAGGTATGCACAGAGCCTCGACTATCGGGTCTACACTATCTTATGAGTTAATTTGTTGTTTAACTTGTGGAAAAATTGAGCCAATCGCTGCTTCTTGTAACGGCGCACACGCTCGTTTTCTTTCCGCGAGGCGCTAGCTCCATGCGAAACGGCGCGGGGGGGGGGGGTCGTACCCGCCCCCTTGGCCGGGTCATATGTAGAAAACCAATTGTTCCGGCGTCGGCACACACATTACGATAAATTTACGAGGTTCGCACCCCCGAAACATGCGACGTGATAACATCGACACTTTTTAATGATAGTACTAATTATTGATTATTATAACGACAAGCTGCCGTTTAGTGCTTCATGGACCCACGAGTAGGCCTACCTGCAGGTAACTGTGTGAAAGTTACATTCGCATTATGTTCAGTTCAATGTCTAAGAGCACACAAATCTAAGTAAATATTAAGTACGGTAGATAATGAGCGATACATATATAATTCAGGCTTTGCTACAAAGTTGCGAGACTTGACTGAATGGACACGGAAACCTCAGTTAATGTTTTCACGTCAGACAACTGTAATTGCTGAAACGACGACCGTATCAACGATAAACATTTTGCAATAAAATGTGAACTAAATTTGGCATTTAAGTCATGGAATAGCAGATAGCCAGATACGCTGCCACGGCATTTGAATTTTGATGGATATAGCCTATAGCAGAGGACTTGAAAAGGAAACGCAAGCTGGACAGTGGACATGTAGTTTTTAACTTTATTAGGTAGGGTAAATAGTTCTGCTTCAACTCTGTTTGATTGCTATGATAACTTCTTAGGCTATGACTATTCCCACAAAATGTGCGTTAAAGCGTTAGGTTCCTACTTGATTTCGGCTTGCAAACGCTCCATCCGCTGGCAGGCCCGGCATTACGCTTCTCTTTGAGCAGAAGGGAAGCTTCTCATTTTCATGACCGAGTTTTGTTGACGGTAAAGAAGGCATTGGAAAAGGGCGGGGTAGTTAGTTGACGGCCGAGATTGCCGTTGATGAGGAGTCGCTATACGGGCACGGATGTCCGAAATCATATGAATCGGCGGGCCAGCTTCATTTTACGAGTATTTACCTACTGTAGCTGACCCTGGCTTCAATTGCAGTTGATGCACATGCTCCGGTGTTTTGTAACGTGCTAATTAGCTACCCCATTGTGCAATTTTCTTCAAGCTTCATTGCTTCACTTCAGGGTTAGCCCCGTGTTCCCTTGCGGTCGTGGAAATTCCATGTCAAGTCTGTATGATTTATAGCGGAACTCTTCCCATATGGGGTGATGCCCAGAAAAGGCCGGAAATCCCAGCATCTGCTCATGCTGTGGCAGGGGATTGAGCCTCCCTGCCACGGTGCGGGAATAAGCAGAACTAACGCTTCCAACTGTACATGAATCCTAGATGGCGGTAGGGGAGAGAACGGTGAGCTATTTTGTAGGTGGCAGCACAGTCCGGTTGATATGTCAACAGCTGGAAGCCTCCATTGCGCCCTCTCTGGGAGCTTATGACTACTACGCATAGATGTCAGCACCATGCAGTGAAGGCTGACGGTCAGCAGCTTGCAAAGCGATAGCATAGAGCTGCTCGGTGGAGGCGGCTTACAGAGATACAATATGTTCATACATAACAGCGCCCGGGTGACCTGCACCACCAGTACACCATGTCCCAAGCTCAGCTTTTGTGACTCGCCACTCCCCAGGTGGTCGAATCAGCCCAACAATAACGTCTACTTCCCTATTCCTATCATCCACCGAACTGAGTCGGTCTCAATAGACCAAAATAGACCAAAAAGGTCCAACAAGTAATTTTGAGTATCCATGACAGGTTGGATGATGATGTAAATAATAAACCAAATTAGTACAAATGCATTCAAATAGGTATATTCAAAAATACACACACTTTTTGTGTGTCTTTTTGAATATACCTATTTGAATGCATTTGTAATAATTTGGTTTATTATTTACATCATCATCCAGTCCAACAAGTAAATAATTATGCACATGTAAGGTTAATTTACAGATAGGTGTGAAATGAAGGTAAGCTTAACGAAATGCAAGCAATGCATCGTACCCTCTACTTACTGTGGTTCTTAGTGAACCGTCTATCCGTATTCATGAACCGTATAATAGTGAACCGTCTATCCGTATCCATGAATCGTATAACAGTGACCGTCTATCAGGGCTGTAACTTATTCGTTGGGCTTACACGAACTATAGCCCAAGGCACGCTATCACTGGTAGTGGGGAGTGGTAGAGTGAGCCCCACAGAACACCAAATAAGGACACCGGTGCTACCTCTCACCCCCCCCCCGGCCCCCAGTCCCCCTCGGCGAAACACGGAACAGCAGTGTTCCGGGCATGGCACGCGATTCGCTAGTCTGACATTCGGCTCGTCGCAAGGCGCTCGTCGGCAGTGAACGATGGCTCGCAACTCTGCCAACTATGTCGGCAGCCGGAGAAAGTGTCACTTGGCTTCTGAGCTCTGCACTCGTGGCGCAACAGTTGTCACCATGGTAGATAGGTGGATATAAGACTAAACGATTATTCGGGGATAATCCGATGGCTTAAAAGTCTGTAACGAGAACCATGAGCAGATTTTTGTGAGTTTTGCCGGCATATATGACCGGTAAGACTTGTTGCTTATCTTGTACCGTGACCACATACGGTTGGTGTGGTTAGAAGCTTTGACGCACTTGGTGAGCAATTTATAGCTGGTGGGCCGAGGCATACTTCAATCTGAGTCCCTGCCGCCACATAAGACAATGGATATAAAGACGTTTATTGCCTCGATGCATTCTAACGACCATCGGACAGCAGCGCTCACTAACGCTAATGGCTTATTTAGCTAAAGCTTGCAGACGTGTTGAAATGCTTAGAATGAACTTAGGTATAATACGCACGTGTAACAAAGTCTCGCTAATCCAAGGCTAACACCTCTGTTTTACGGCTTATGCTAATATTAGATTGTCTGAATATTTCATGCATTTGATTTTGTTTGGTTAAATGATTGTACAGGAAATCCTTAAGTAAGTTATAGGGAAGTTATTGTTAGTGGCATTTATTTATTGTATTTCCCTCGTCAATACCTATTTGGGATGCCATAATTGACAACCTACCATATTTTTACCATAACCTACCACTATACCATAACCTACCACTTTTTATTTTTACTGATCGACCCAACGTACCTATCCCGAAGTCATTTATCGTGATACGACGGCAGCAATGCCTTTTTTAGACGTGCTCAGCAAACCTGAATCATGCACAAGTTTCCGCAAAAGTCGACGTACCCTCGGTGTTTGGGTACCCTAATATGATACGCGTGACATTCCGACGGCTGTTTCATGAAGACTGTAAGGCAAAGGCGTAGGTCGTAGGATTAGGCACTGATGCATTTGCTGCAGCCTTTTATTTTATCACTAGGTCCATAACACGTTATTAGGTAGCTGAGTACATAGCATACCTATATCAACAATCATTTACGGATAGGGACGTTTTCCCATACTTTTCCAATCTGGGACCGGGTCTGAAGTTGGTAAATCTGGCCGTTCTAGCTCGCACAGCTGAGGAAAACCAAGAGGAAAACAATCCACGTGCCAGACAGCTGAGCTTCGCAATCGCGTCAAGAGAGGGCGCTCGCGCTGGTGTGTGGGGTGTGTGGCAGCGGCAGCGGCCGGTGGCCGCCCGTCGGCTCGCGGCTCGCGACTCGCCGCCAGCCCGTTAGTCCGCGGAGTGGGGCGCTCGGGGCGGGCTGTGCAGCGGTTCTCCTGGTTGACGTTATCCATGCGATATCATGAGCGCTTCTGCCAAAACTGTGCGTATAACAGCGTCCTATTTGCCTCGCGAGTACGCTGTTACTTCTGTTGTTAGTAAGACTGAATCTACAATGGTGAAGAACAATTCGCTGGACTCTGGTGTTGACGGTCTGCGCGACTCGCCGAATTCGGGCCTTCGTGATTCTCCCAACTACATCCATGACTCTCCGAACCAGAACTACTTGCGGGAACAAGTAAATCTGCAGCACGCTCCGCTGAAGTCGGCTTCCACAAGCGGAATGGTGAAGTTGCAGTCAATGCGAAACGAGACCGTCCACGCTGAGAACATCGAACTGCCCGAGTACATCGTTGATCCATCAACTCGCACCACCTACCTGAAAGGGAAATTCCTCGGAAAGGTATGTAAATTGAGTCATAACTTATCCTCCTATTCTGATTCGTTCGCCTGCCATTACAGTTTTGCTTTTTCAGGCGGCTCGCGGAAGTTGGCGCCATGTTTGTTGTTGATCTGCTCGGTTTGCACTTTGTTTAGTTGATTATTCGTTTTTGTGTGCTTTGTAGTTTGTATGTCTTTATAAAATTGTTGCCAGGGTTTTCAATTTAAGATATCAAGATATGACAAGTTGTTTGCTCAGAATGTGTGGTTATTACTTACTAGTGATAATGTCCTAAATCTAAAATAAGTCTAGTATCAATGCAAAGGAAAGATATCCAACACTGTCGACCGTCGACCGTCTTCCTTTTCACGAATAGGAAGATTTCCAGCCGCCTGTCTATTAGACGTAGTTTTATCATTAATATAATTTTTGTCAATCAATCATCGTAAGATTGGGTACCAACGTGCGCAATGTGCATTGTACGATGTGCATGACATGGGTGTGAGATAATGGATCCGGTTGAACCTATAGGTTGAACCGGGATCTGAGCCCACGGATATGGAGGGTGGATCTTGATCTGGGAGCACATGATACATCCAGGCCTTTCATTTTGCTGTGAGCGTGCTAATTTCATATTTCGATGTCTTGCCCGCTCTCATTCTCTTTCCTTAGTCGTACCTTTCCCAGTTCTCACAAATTTCTTCACATACTCTTGCTTTAGTGTGCATTAACGGAGCTCGTTTACCATGCTTTCCTGATCCACTTGTGCAAAAGCTACCATTGTCCTCATACTTAGCGGCGTGTGCTTGGAACCGGTCGTTTATCTTGATAAAACGCCTCATGCATGACAATGCTATCCGTCGTATCTCTGCGTGTAATATGGGGCCTTGGGTGTAGGGGTGTACCGCCCGGGGAAGGCTTACACAGTTACTCTGGAATCCTCACACAGATAGCCGACCCACGCTTGACTGCCTAACTATGGGATGCGCACGGCTTGACCGTGAGTAGTTGCTGGAAACACATTTCAGCTGCATTTACTGCACTCCGGTATAGCCTCGAGTGATTCTCAACTGCAACTCCCGGTGTGCCCCAGGGACAGGAAGCGAATACCTACCGGGTCTTCTGCTTACTGAGAGTGGCTTGATAAATTAAATTTATGCAGCTGTAAACTGCGTACAACAGTTGTTGTCAGTATCTCTCTCCACTGGTCCTAGTAGCTAAGCCGTTTTAATCCTGCCTCGACCGGCTTATTCCATTAGTGAACAGCTCCCTCTTCCCCTCTCCTCTCTCTCCTCCATCGCCCTCTCCTCCTCGTCTTATTTCGCTATGTCCTGTTCGTCCGATAGCATCAGGAAGCGACCACCTGCAGTCACCGAAGCACTACCGGGAAGCTGGCTACCCTGCAGGACAAGACGCTCCTCCATTAGACCTGCAAGGCGACGATCGGCCCGATTGCGTTTTATTAGAGAGCGTCTCGGTGGCGCGACACTCGGCCACCGGGCCCATGCAGGGACGCTGGCTGCCGCTGTGCACTGTGCAGCCGCTGTGCACGGGGACGGTGCACAGCGTGTGGCGTGCAGTGGGCACGGCAGCGCGGCCGGGAACCGGCTCTGCCCACGGCCACAGTCGAGGGACGCCGGCGGCCGGCCCGGGCCAGCCGAACCGAGCCGGGCCGAGCCGAGCGAGGCGAGACGCGATCATCGGCGAGGGCCGCCCGCCCCGGATCAGTTGCAGGTGGCTGTCACTGGTGCGTGATGAACTGAGCCGGGCCCACTGACGTGGCGAGGTCTCAGAAGCAATATTTCAGCTGACAGGCCTGTTGTCACTTTTTAGCCAGCCTGTTTTGGTACGGAAACATATTTGGTAGCGAGCGAAAGTGCTGGCAAAAACGTGGAACGCTCTTAGTCTGTCGGGCCAGGTTGTAGTCTGCCTGTATGGTGATTGGTGATGCTTTGTGACCCTTTGTGATGAAGCTGTCAGCCTAAACTGCGCCATTAGTTCGCAATGACCTTTACTTTCCCTGCGACGAGCGGCAGAGGCTCGGAGGCGCGCGCGGCCGTCAGCTGACTGCGCCAGCTGATTGCTCCCTGCTGGTGACGCCCGCGGCGGTGCGCCCAGCACCCATACCGGCCAATTCTGGGCAATGCCGGCCCACCGGTAACCTCCCAGTGACCCTGGACCGCGGCCCGGGGCGATGCACCATCTCTTTGTGCCCGCCCGGTGAGACATGCCCGCTCAACTCGTGCGCGCTGCCGATCCTAATAGATTTGTCCGCGCCTCTTTGTGGCATGAGCCGGGCATTTGACCACTTCTTGTCCATGGAATTATCTGAGCCCACGCGCAAAAACGCTGAAAACTTGTGCCTAACTGAAAAAGAACTGAAATTACAGTCGAGACAGGCGCGGCAATTATCATAGCGCAGACGGTCCTAGCCCGGTGTGTGGAGTATATCTCCGATCTAAATTACCGCCTGCCGTCCTGGCGGACGTCTTTTGCCCACGAAAAAGCCTGCCAGCGGGCCGTTGACCCGAGCCGTTACCGGTCGGCTCATTATGCGCGTTAAATTGTAGTTTATGTCGTCACAAGAGTAAATTACACTGTGATGAACAGAAATACGACAGTCGACTTTACGGCCATCTCCCACGCGCGTTCGGAACTCGACCTCCTCTGAGCGATGGTCGTTACTCGTGTCGTTACCTCTCGTGTCGTTACCTCGTAACGGTGTCCAACAATGGATTCGGGCGCGATAGCCTTTTCTGGTGAGAAGAAAACGAACTGAGCCGGCTCGGTGAATAGCCACTCCTCCATCAGGGGCTTTTGTTCTCGGGAGCGGGGGTGAGCATCGGTCGGCCACACGGGGAGTCTGCTCAGCTCCCGTCGACCTGGTGGGGTTCATGCACTGACACGTCGAGTCGTGCCCGCTACTGCCAGGCCTCCTGCTCTGTCTCTGCCTATCGGACCCGCGCGATAGCTGGACTGTGCACTAATCCTGGCTGGCCAGGTGCGCTTTTTGCCTAGAAACGGGTTTGGCCTGACGGGCTGCCGCCTGCCTGTACCGTCGGCGGCAGCGGCGGCGGTGCGGTGGTGGCACTGGCCTCACGGAACTGTGATAACTGAACCATGGGCTCGCCCCAGCCACGCGGCCGGCCGCGCTGCTTCGCCGAGATCCTCCCAGAGATCTCCGGCCGGCCGGCTCAGGCAAATAAGGAGGGTTCAGCACGAGCAGCGTGCCTGACTCAGGATTCTGAGTCGCGAACCGCACGCGCCACCCTTTCGGGGAATCGTGGGCGACCCGCCCCGGAAGCTCCGCTAGTGACGTCACCACTGACCCGGTCAGTCCGGCCTGACCTCGTGAGGGGAATGGACGGCAGGGGTGACGTCATGCAATCCGACTTCACAATGACGTCATGGAGTACCGTCACTCACACCGATGCACCTGGCGGATAAGTTCAGACACACGGATGGAAACATCCCACAGCTGAGGTGAAACCAGTGCATCTGTCCGTCCGAGGATATGGAGTTTTGCTGTCGGTCGAGAGCCGTTGGCAGGTTTATCAAGCGCGCCCGGTCGGCGGCAGGCTCTCAGCTGTTATCAGTCTTCGGATGTCGCTGTCTGACGTGCGGTCCGCCGCTCCCTCCTCTCCGATAAACAGCCGCCGTCACGGTCGTCAATGCGGCTACCATCACCGGCAGGTTCCATTTCACTGACCTTCACCCCTTCACCGTCGATATGTGACGTGATTTGGTCTGAGTTGAGCCACCGCTTCACGCTTCACATTCATTTCAACCACTTACATGCATACTTACCGAATACCGACCTCACATTTTGGCTTGCCTTACGCTCCGGTATCTCACCCCTCTTCGGTTTCGTACCACACTCGTACTTCCGACTCTTAGAACGCCCTACAGCGGTGCCGTTTCACGAACGGACCACTCATGACGAACCGGCCAGTCCAGGTCCAGGTCCAGGGGCCGCTCTCATAACCACCTTCATAAACGCGTCACGGACGGTTGATGAACAGCCGTTCACCGGCCAAATAACGACTTCTGCGGACTGCTGGGTGGACTCTGCCTCTCTGCTGCGAGCCTGGCGTAGTTTCCGGCGTGCCGGGAGAGACGACTGGGGTGACTGAGGATTACTGTGAGATGAATATCACGATTGCGAGGGTAGCGGGGGTGACAGGGCACTCGGCTTGCCTATTTGCTTTCATAAGCGGGGGTAATGGCCGTGGGCGTTTGAAAAGCGGGGCTATTCGGATGACTGTTATGGCTTCTGATGAACTGATCGGCTTCAATGACCTGCGGTACACGTGGTCAGCGGGGTATACCTTTCTGAGACCGGACTCGCCAGGACAGTCCGGTCCGGACGGTTTCTAACCCACCGGGCCACCCCATGACCGGCCTCCAGCCTTGCGTGGGGGTGGCGTGGCACCGTGCCGCTCCGTCGGTGGCGTGCGGGGCGTGCCAGGCCCGGTACCGGTTCCACCCGCCGGCCACTCGTCGTCTAACGGACGTCACCGGACGCTCCACAGCCCGCCAGGACCCGGGCACCGCGCCCATGTGGTGTCCGGGAAACCGACGGTGTTCTTCCAACATCCAGACACTCTCTGAGGGAAGGCCGAGCGAATGGAGGGCCGACTGATCAAGGACGTAGCCAAGGCGTGGGCTGGTCACTTGTCATCGCGTGGGCCGGTCATCGGTGGAAACATTGTTGTGGCCGGCCTTTGGTCTGTCCCCGGATGTGATTGGACAGCGGTAATGGATAAATCTGTCCGTGTGAAAGCCTGCCGGCGCTCGTGGGAATGCCGCCTTTCTTTCCCGCTGACTGGGGCGAGCATTTGATCTGTCCTGCGCTGACTGCTGAGCTGAAAGCTCAGATGGTATGCTCACATGTCCTGGTGACCTGACTTGCTGTCTCGCTGAGTCGAGTTTCTGCTATCCGGTCTATAAGTAAGTAGAGCTGCTGAGCTCCGGTTATAGTAGAGCTGCTGATACGTCCTGCTAAACTGAGCTGTTGAGCC